AATAAACTCATCGTCTAATTCATTCAGTTATTACATTTATCTGGTTTTATAAAGGAACTTTTTAGATATAATTAGGGGAATATTTCTGTCTCCTCTCTGAATTTCACTGCAAACAAATCAAACGAGAACAAAGAGTTCGTTTTAAAATCAAAGTAATTAAATGACAAAAATGAATCGATGGATGTGATTGGATTGCTGGATGTTTTTCAGGGGAACTGTAATATTACTACTGATATTGATTAGTAATTAGTTACACTACTAGTTACTGTAGAAAGTAATAATATTACACTGAATTTAGATAAATAAAATCAGATTTTTGCCACTTGAGTGTGAACATGTGACTGCAGACAACACAGAAACATAAATAATAATATTAGATATTTATAATAATATTTATATATAATAATATTATTTATATATAACATTAATTTATATTTATAATAATATTTATATATAATATTTAATTAAAACAATATTATTTATATATAACATTTATTTATATTTATAATAATATTTATATATAATAATATTATTTATATATAACATTTATTTATATTTATAACAATATTTATATATAATAATATTATTTTTATATAACATTTATTTATATTTATAACAATATTTATATATAATATTATTTATATATAACATTTATTTATATTTATAATAATATTTATATATAATAATATTATTTATATATAACATTTATTTATATTTATAACAATATTTATATATAATAATATTATTTATATATAACATTTATTTATATTTATAACAATATTTAATATAATAATAATAATCAGTGACCTCTCACGTGCACTCGCGGTAAACTGTCGGTGCGTCAGACCGTCAGCTCGTCCTAAAATCCGTTGCCATGGTTTCCCTGTTTCCCGCTCAGGAATTCACTCCCTCTGATCGATCAGTCCACTCGATCCGGTACCGTGACGGTCTCGTGCAGCAGCAGCGGCGGCGGGAAACGGTGCCTTCTGTGTGTGTGTGTGTGTGTGTGTGTGTGTGTGCGCACATGTGTATGTGCTCCAACCGCCGCCCCGCGCGCTCCTTCCCCTCAGCGTGCTGCTGCCACTGCTGACGTAAGAGCCGCGTGACGTGTCAGTCCTGATGTAGAGATGATGGCGGAGCAAAAGAGGGAGGAGCCAAATACAAATATTACAGACACTACAAATAATACAGACTACAGACACTACAGACACTACAAATAATACAGACTACAGACACTACAGACACTACAAACAGTACAAACACTACAGACACTACAGACACTACAAACAGTACAAACACTACAGACACTACAAATACTACAGACTACAGACACTACAGACTACAGACTACAGACACTACAAATAATACAGACACTACAGACTACAGACACTACAGACACTACAAATACTACAGACACTACAGACACTACAAATATTACAGATAATACAGACACTACAGACACTACAAATATTACAGACACTACAGACACTACAGACACTACAGACACTACAAATATTACAGACTACAGACAATACAAATAATACAGATAATACAGTTACTACAAATACTACAGATACTATAGACTACAGACACTACAAATATTACAGACACTACAGACACTACAAATATTACAGACACTATAGACTACAGACAATACAAATAATACAAATACTACAGATACTACAGATACTAGAGACACTACAAATAATACAGACTACAGACACTACAGACTACAGACACTACAGACACTACAAATAAAATATAACAGACACTACAAACAGTACAAACACTACAGACACTACAAATACTACAGACACTACAGACTACAGACACAACAGACACTACAAATACAAATATAACAGACACTACAGACACTACAAATACTACAGACACTACAAATAATACAGACACTACAGACACTACAAATATTACAGACACTACAAATACTACAGACACTACAGACACTACAAATACTACAGAGACTACAAATACTACAGACACTACAAATACTACAGACACTACAAACACTACAAATACTACAGACACTACAAATACTACAGACACTACAAATATTACAAATACTACAGGCACTACAAATATAACAGACACTACAGACACTACAAATACTACAGACACTACAGGCACTACAAATAATACAGACACTACAGACTACATTCACTACAGACACTACAAATACAAATGTAACAGACACTACAAACACTACAAATACTACAGACACTACAAACACTACAGACTACAGACACTACAGACACTAGAAATACAAATATAACAGACACTACAAATATTACAGACACTACAGACACTACAAATATTACAGACTACAGACAATACAAATAATACAGATAATACAGTTACTACAAATACTACAGATACTATAGACTACAGACACTACAAATATTACAGACACTACAAATATTACAGACACTATAGACTACAGACAATACAAATAATACAAATACTACAGATACTACAGATACTAGAGACACTACAAATAATACAGACTACAGACACTACAGACACTACAGACTACAGACACTACAGACACTACAAATAAAATATAACAGACACTACAAACAGTACAGACACTACAGACACTACAAATACTACAGACACTACAGACTACAGACACTACAAATACAAATATTACAGACACTACAGACACTACAAATACTACAGACACTACAAATAATACAGACACTACAGACACTACAAATATTACAGACACTACAAATACTACAGACACTACAAACACTACAAATACTACAGACACTACAAATACTACAGACACTACAAATACTACAGACACTAAGAAATACTACAAATACTACAAATATTACAGACACTACAAATACTACAGACACTACAAATACTACAGACACTACAAATACTACAGACACTACAAATACTACAGACACTACAAATACTACAGACACTACAAATACTACAAATACTACAGACACTACAAATACTACAGACACTACAAATATTACAAATACTACAGACACTACAAATATTACAGACACTACAGACACTACAAATACTACAGACACTACAGGCACTACAAATAATACAGACACTACAGACTACATACACTACAGACACTACAAATACAAATATTACACACACTACAGACATTCAGACACTACAAATACTACAAATATTACAGACACTACAGACACTACAAACACTACAGACACTACAAATACAAATACTACAGACACTACAAACACTACAAATACTACAGACACTACAAATACTACAGACACTACAGACACTACAAATACTACAGACACAACAGACACTACAAATAAAATATAACAGACACTACAAACAGTACAAACACTACAAACACTACAAATACTACAGACACTACAGACTACAGACACTACAAATACAAATATTACAGACACTACAGACACTACAAATACAAATATTACAGACACTACAAATACAAATATTACAGACACTACAAATACTACAGACACTACAAATACAAATAATACAGACACTACAAATACAAATAATACAGACACTACAAATACAAATAATACAGACACTACAAATACTACAAACACTATAAATACTACCGACACTACAAATACTACAGACACTACAAATACTACAGATACAAATACTACAAACACTATAAATACTACAGACACTACAAATACTACAGACACTACAGACACTACAAATACTACAAACACTACAAATACTACAAATACTACAGACACTACAAATACAAATATTACAGACACTACAAACACTACAAATACTACACACACTACAGACACTACAAATACAAATATTACACACACTACAAACACTACAGACACTCTGCTACAAATACTGAATTCAGAACCTTTTTAAAGTCTGAAGCTGAAATAAAAATGTAATTTTAACCCTTAAAGAACTCATCCTGTAATATTGTTCACATATTTAACGATTTACATGTTTGATAAGAGTCCTGCCCTGAACACCTTCACAGGCTAATATTAGATATAGTCTACTGGAAATCTACACTGGTTGCAGCTTTAATTGTGGATTAATATCACTGCTGCATAAAGTAGATGTTTATGGTTGAGCTCTACTGAACTCATTTTCATTTATTTATAATTCTGATCATCAGCTGTTTGTCCTGTGAGAACCATGTTGTTTCCAGCCTGTTTTCAGCTTGGTGACGATGCGTTTTCCAGATATTATAAGAGGTTTTTAAATTAGTTTAATAAGCCTAAGAAGTAGGAGAATTGTTTCCTATCCTTCAGTTTATCACAAACTTCTGGAGATACATGGTTTTCACTGGACAGACAAATGTAATGGAGTAAAAAGAACCATATTTACCTTTAATGAAAATACTCAAGTAAAGTATTAATACTGTAAACTGGTACAATAGGATACTTCAGTAAATGTTTCATAGAGGACTGTAGTGCTGAGTCATGGCCACTGGAGGGCGCCAACAGTCTGTAGAGAGATCCAACAGCAACACTGAAGTAACAACACCTGCACCTACTATTAGTGTGATTGTTGCTGCTGTTGTTGCTGTGCACGTCTGTCTGTCTGTCTGTCTGTCTGTCTGTCTGTCTGTCTGTCTGTCTGTCTGTCTCTCTCTCCCACCCACCTAGAGCCGGAGGATCTGTCCTAGGTTTCTGCCTTTTAACAGGCAGTGTTTCCTTGCCCTTGTCTCCAAGGTCTTGCTCATGGTGGTACTGTTGGGTCTCTGTAATTAATGTTATAAAGAGTTCGGTCTAGACCTGCTCTATTTGAAAAGTGTCCTGAGATAACTTCTGTTATGAATTGGTGCTATACAAATAAAACTGAATTGAATTGCAGTTCCTCTATCGTCCACTAGAGGCTGGTTCCAGCAGTCAGGTACAAGCTGGAGTCAGGACTGTGACCACAGCGAGCTACAGACTGCTAACAGACACTGTAGTTTATATGTTGATCTGTTTATCTGACGTTTACGTCTGCAGGAGGAACCAATGAGCTCGCAGCCGAGGGGACAGGAAGTGAGCCGGACCAACCTGTTGCTGTATGAAACTGCATGAAACTTGAGGCTGCTGTTGCCGTAGCAACACGACCTTGATGGTCCATGAAACTGTTAACTGTTGGGACCGTCTGTTGCCCGGCAACAGCAGCCTGTTGCTGGATGGGAACAGGAAGTGACAACGACGACTACTGACGAAGACGAGTCTACTAATGAGGATGAGGACGAAGAGGAGGAAGAAGAGGAGGAAGAAGAGGAGGATAACGAGTAAAATGACTCTGAAGCTGCTGATTAATGATGAAGATGATACCCTAGTGATGATGATGATGATGAAGATGGTGAAGACGCTGGTGATTTAGATGCTGACAGTGACGATGAAGATGATGAATAAAGTGTTTTTTTAAACGATTCAATTAATGATGATAGAAAATGTTTGTCCTGTTGATGAAGGTGATGATGATGATGATGAAGGTGATGATGATGATGATGAAGGTGATGATGATGATGATGAAGGTGATGAAGGTGATGATGAAGAAGGTGAGGAAACAGACTCCACACTGTTGTTTGTTGTTTGTTTGTTTGTTTATTGACCTCCATGCACAACGAGGGAACATTAAGCTGCACAGCGAGGTGCTACTGAGAGCTCACACTGAGCTGAGTGTATCTTTACAGTCCAGACTACGTATCCCACAATGCACCAGTGCTTTGTACCAACACCGCCCCCCCAACATCAGAATGAAAGTTATAGAACAAAGTTCATTCAGTCTGTTTACAATCATAGAAAATGACATCATTGATCGGCTGTAGAAAGGTTCTTCTTCTCCTCTACAAATATACACGGGTTGGAAAACAGGTAGAAAAATAGATTCATACAGAAAAGATAAAAACATGTGAGTGCAACAGATCAATCATCAATCAATCAATCAATCACCAATCAGCAATCAATCAATCAGTCCAGTTTGTCTTCATGCACAAAGGTCGAAGGTCACTATTATACACACACAGTGAGCAGCACCGTGTCCACCTTCCTCTCTCAATCCTCTTCATCAGCTGTCTCACCCACAGTCCTCCTGCAGTCCACTGCAGCCAGAACCAGGACCAGGACCAGGACCAGGACCAGAACCAGAACCAGGACCAGAACCAGAACCAGAACCAGAACCAGGACCAGGACCAGAACCAGAACCCAGAGTCCTCTGAAACCTCCAAACACCTTCCTGGCAGTGTGACGTCACAGGGAAACGTCTCTGACGGTTTCCGGTTGACGGTTCAAATCCTGAAGCTTTAACTGACCTCACCGGCCACCGTTCAGACACCGGGCGCGTTCAGAGCCAGAGAGTAGGCGGCCATCATCTGCGCACGCAGCTGCTGCTTGACGTGCACGCGCCCGTGCCTCTTCCTCTCGTCGCTGCGCGCGAAGCGCTTGCCGCACACATCGCACGAGAAGGGCTTTTCCCCCGTGTGCGTGCGCGTGTGCGTGGTCAGGTGGTCGCTGCGGCTGAAGCTGCGCGCGCAGATGGTGCACTGGAAGGGCTTCTGACCCGTGTGGATGCGCACGTGCCTGTTCAACTCGTCAGAGCGCGAGAAGCGGCGCTCGCAGCCCTGCACGGAGCACGGGAACGGTTTCACCTTCAGCCCGTTCTTGGCGGGAGCTCTTCTGCCCCCGCGTGACAGCTTCGGGGCTCCTGCCGCGTGCACACTGCTGATGTTGACTATCGGGAACGCGCCCTGCAGGAGGGAGGAGAGCAGGTGCGCGTCCAGGGTGGAGGGCACGAGCTCCGTCTTGACGACCGGTCTGTTGATGACGTAGCTGGTGGAATCTCCTCCGGTAACCGGAGCAACCGCTAAACTCTTCAACCAGTCCTCCAGACCCAGCGGCTCCTGCTTCACCTCACAGCCGGGCTTCAGCTCGCACAGGCCGGCCTCGGAGCTCAGCAGAGAGTCGATGAAATCAGCCACATCCACCTGTTGCTCCAGAGCCGGCAGCGGGAGGAGAGAGTCGGTGCTGGCCGGGTATAAAGCATCATTCCCGGGCAGTGAAGATTGTCCACACCCGCTGCTGCAGCTGGAGCTCACAAACTCGCTTTTAACCACCACTGGGTGTGAGATGGTGGCGGGAGGCAGCTGCTGGGCTGCGGCCAGAGGAGGGATGCTGAGGTCGGAGCTCGGAGCGAAGAGCGGGGGCGAGGAGGAGGCTGCAGCCGGGGAGGGCGCTGCAGAGGGCGGGCTGGACTCGCGGAGAGAGCCGGTGTCGCCCTGCTGCTCCATCTCGGTGCAGATCCCGACGATCTCTGTGATCATGTTGAGGATCGCGTCCGCGGTGCTGCTCAGCCCCGCTGCTGCCGGTACCGGCTCCGGTTCCGTGAAGAAGCTGCCGGTGTAGCCGAGAGAGGGCGAGAGTGTGTCCGAGGAGCAGTCGCTGAAGTCGGAGAAGAAATCTGAGTCAGAGGCGTCAGTTCCCGGAGAGAAAACTGAGGAGAGAGAGAGGGAGGGAGGGAGGGAGGGAGGGGGGTGTTAGTGTCATTGCATAATATCTCCACTCACCCACACACAGCAGATCGATATGAGGAGCTGCAGCGTGATGCATTCACTGACAGTTATTATGCAACAGTCAATAAATCACATACAGCTTGTTGTTATTGATTTCTTATTGATCAACACACACCTTGACAGAAAGGTGATCCCACGTCAGAGTCGGCTCCGTCGCTGGGGCTCGAGCCCACACTGTCCACCCAGGCGCTGCACGCGTCCTCAAACTCCGACATGAAGCTGTCCTCGCGCTCCAGAAGCATTGCGGGTTATTGTGCGTGATAAAGGTGCGTGATAAAGGTGCGTGATAAAGGTGTGCAGAAGCCGCAGTTTACCACGCGGTGTCAGGTGAAGTGATTAAAAGCTCGGTCGGTGTCGGGGATTCCCTCGCGGCGGTTAAGGAGCCGTTATTAATCCGTGAGGAGCTGCCGGTGAGTCGTTACTGAGCTCGGTGATGCTGAGGATGCTGGGCTCTCTCTGCTCGCGGCCCCTTTTATACTCTCCGTCTCTTAGGTAACTCCAGGCTCGGCCTTATTGGTCGGCACCGGCGCGAGGGATTCCCCCCGCCGCGAGCTTCGTAGCTGCCCAAACATGGGCTGCTTCCGGTTGTGACGGCGGGTATCCCCATACCATAAAAGGACAGGCGGGAGAGCGACGTAGACACCAGAGGAGAGAGGGGTTTCCTTCACTGCGGCAACGGAGCGACAAACAGGGGGAGGGATGGAGGGATGGAGGGATGGAGGAGAGGATGAAGGGATGCAGCAGAGGATGGAGAGATAGAGGTAGAGGATGGAGAGATGGAGGTAGAGGATGGAGAGATGGAGGTAGAGGATGGAGAGATGGAGGTAGAGGTGGAGGATGGAGGAGAGGATGGGAGATGGAGGGATGCAGCAGAGGATGGAGAGATGGAGGAGAGGATGGAGGGAGAGGATGGAGGGATGCAGCAGAGGATGGAGAGATGGAGGGAGGATGGAGGGAGAGGATGGAGGGATGCAGCAGAGGATAGAGATGGAGGGAGTGGATGGAGAGATGGAGGTAGAGGATGGAGGGATAGAGGTAGAGGATGGAGGGATGCAGCAGAGGATGGAGAGATGGAGGGAGAGGATGGAGAGATGGAGGGAGAGGATGGAGGGATGCAGCAGAGGATGGAGAGATGGAGGGATGGAGGTAGAGGATGGCGGGATGCAGCAGAGGATGGAGAGATGGAGGGATAGAGGTAGAGGATGGAGAGATGGAGGTAGAGGATGGAGAGATGCAGCAGAGGATGGAGAGATGGAGGTAGAGGATGGAGGGATGGGGTAGAGGATGGAGGGATAGAGGTAGAGGATGGAGGGATGCAGCAGAGGATAGAGGTAGAGGATGGAGGGATGCAGCAGAGGATAGAGGTAGAGGATGGAGGGAAGCAGCAGAGGATGGAGAGATGGAGGTAGAGGATGGAGAGATAGAGGTAGAGGATGGAGGGATGCAGCAGAGGATAGAGGGATAGGTAGAGGATGGAGAGATGGAGGTAGAGGATGGAGGGAGAGGATGGAGAGATGGAGGTAGAGGATGGAGGTAGAGGATGGAGGGAGAGGATGGAGGGAGAGGATGGAGGAGGATAGAAGAGCAGAGATTATAGTTGTTGTTTATGTGTTGTTGTTTATGTGTTGTTGTTTATGTGTTGCTCCACAGTTTAGCCCCACAGACACTCAAACCCCAGAGTTTGTCTAAAAGGCTAAAATCTGAACAATGTTCCGGGTTCGAGGACACTTTTATAAATGTTACACTACAGAAAGACAAGTTCTGTCCTTTCCTGCAGGAATTATTCTTATTGGCATTTTCACTTTGTTCAATTTGTTTTTGTTTACATCCAATGACACAAAATGTTGTTTACACAAAGAGGAACAACAACAAAGTCATAAAGAGAGGAGACGAGCAGATCACGTTTATCAGTCGTCTTACGCTCATCAATAAACAGAAGTATCAGCGAGGGACATTTTGTGGAGAAACAAACAGTCTCTGGTTTCCTGCCTGTGTCGCAGGCAGCTCTGCAGTGCTGCAGAGAGGAAACAGAGGGAGATTATTACACATTACTGCCCCACATGTGACATTCCTGCACATCAGCTGCTGTGATGTTGTCGCCATGGAAACGAGAGGAGATTCAGGGCACTCGTTATATAAAAGAGAGTCAGAAATAGAAGCTGCTGCTTTACCTGCTCTTTAATTCTAATTATTAACGTTGTTGTTGAGGTTTTTTAACGTGAAGCTGGCGTGAATTATAAGTGAGAGTCCTCAGAGTGAACGTCAGTGGGACATTCGGCTCTACATCCACAGTGGCGGGTGTAACTAAGTACATTTACTCAAGTACTCTAGGCTACTTAAAGCTATAATGTGTAATACGTCCTCATTAGACTGTAACTCTAGAGCTATGTTCTGTATAGAGTTGATTCAATCAATAATCTATAATCAATGGCGTCATATCCCCTTTGT